ATACTTTATAATCTTACACAATAAATAATAATGAAAAATATAATTATGTAATATTGATTAACATTGATACATTTTACATTAATTATCCAACTTCATATAGTTTTTCAAATCACAAGCAATCGATCAAATCCGTTTTAAAGTATTTTTGTCTTTGTCTTTATAAAATTGTTTCACATCTTGAATAAGCGAAATTATATCTACATATATTAAAAATGAAACAAAAAGATTTACAAAAAATATCACATTCCTAATTTTCGAAATTATTTGCAATAAAAATTTGCAAAATTTTTAGCTTACAATATTCCGCTTAGATACCATTATTACAGATAAATTAGAATATGTTTATATGAAAATGATTGAGAATAGATATGAAAACAGTATAACACGAACATTGATATCTCTATTCCTGAAGATACTGTTTTCGTACACTAGATGAAATCAAATAAGATTTATTTCTCGTAAACGAAAATATACTTGGTACATTATATTATACCAGAAACGACTTACATCGGTATTAGTTAAGTTAGCTTTAAGTTAGACTTAGGTTAGATTTAAGTTAAAATATTTTTACTTATTTGTGTATAGACGACATTTTTTGGACCTTCTAACAGTATTTTTGAAAAGTGGGGACTTGCACATATGGGCCTCAACACAAAAATAAAGCAAAAATAAATAATAGAGCTTATAAGCGAAGGTGGCTACATCAATTCAATAGATTTGAAAAGTCTTCCGAATAGATAAATGTTCTGATTTGTCATATATATATATATATATATATAGACACACACACACACACAGGATGTCCAATAATCGTATCACTTTTCGTGTGCAGGTAGAGCGGATTAAACTGAATAGAAAAGTCTTCTATCGTTTTGCTACCGAGTAATTTTCGCAATAATTAAGGAGAAATTAATTAAAAAAGATCATCTAATTCACGCGCGACGCGAAAAAATAACTCACTGTTACGTTAGATTTCCATATCGATCTGTCACGCGTCTTTCTTTTTATCGAAATAAAAAAATGTCGCGACAAATATTATTATAGTTTATCAAAAATACAAAATATTATTTAAATAGAAATTATAGAAAATATTATGCTATCATTTCGTCATCATCTTGCGGCAAATAGCACGGCGTATTTTTTTGAAAAATGATATCCCCAGGTCTAAATTCACTTTCATATTTTAATGCAACATTGTTCGAAATGCGCATTATCCGGACAAATGGATGGGTCGAGGCCTAATCATTTGGTCGATCGTCAGGTCTTAACGTGCTCGATTACTTCGTATTTTTGTCATTATAAATTTAATCGAGCACAAGCATGATACATAAGCTGAAGTACACGAAGCAATTCTTACAGCTTTCAATATGTATTTTATCACTTTGGAAATGACGCATCGCATGATGCGCAATAATCGAAGAGCCGAACTTTGTTTACAAGAACGAGGAAGGCACTTCGAACAATTATTACATTAAAATATAAAGGTAAAAGTAGATCTATTGGGGAAGATACTACTTAAAAAAGATGCACCGTGCTATCTACTGCAAGGTGATGTGAAAATGATAGCATAATATTTCCTATAATTTCTATTTAAATTATATTTTACATTTTTGATAAAACATAATAATAATCGCCGCGACTTTTCTTTATTTCGATGAATGAAAGACGTGCGACAGATCGATACGAGATTTTAATGTAACGATGGATTGTTTTTTCACCTCGCGCGCAAATTGATCAATCTCTTTTAATTAATTTCTCATTAATTATTGTGAAAATCACAAAATGGTAAAAAACTTTCCTACTCGGTTAATCCTCTATTTGCATACGATATGGTTATTCTACGGATATCCTGTATATATATATATATATATATATATACACACACATTCTTAATCCAATCTTCTATCAGACCTATATATATATATGTATGTCTCAAATTATATCTATTTGTACACATATGTGATAGATGGAAATACACATGAATTTCGCGTTAACAGCTATTATAATAATACAGGAATTGTATTACAATTTGACGAAGTTGAGAATATCAGAATTGTATGTTTGTTTAATTTTCAGTATTTCATCTAACACAAAATTATTGAAAACTGTAAAAATGGTTAATTAAATTAAATTTGATTATTCATATCTGTTTCCATATATTGTATAAAAGCAGATACAATCAGATATACACACACGCATAGACGCATATATTGAGCTTAATTTTGTTGACAAAAATTTGAATTTAAGTTTGATCAAAAATCTCTCGTTTAATTAAAGTTAAAATTAAACGTTCCGGAAAGCACTTTGTTACAAAAAATTCTATAAAAAATTACAAATAATATTAAATTATGTACATATACGTACACAATAAAAATTTTATCAAATTCTTGACATCATCGACATTGTCAATCATTTTCAAAAATGCAATAAAACACTTCAATTCGGTCTCGTTCGAGGAAGACGTCAAAATAAACGCGGCGAAACATACATGCGAAGTAAGTATTATGAGGTAACAATTACATTGTGCTAGCGCGAATTGCGTATGCAAATGCACGGGATCGCCGTAGACAGCGTTTTACAAAGGTGCTCGGTGCAAGTAGCGACTCTCGCGCATTCCGGGCAGGTGTACTAACAGCTGAGCCCGATCACCCACCCACCCACCCACACACGTATATACATCTAGGCCGACCTGACATCTTGATGGATACTATCGTGTCTCTCTCTTGCGTTGCATTGCATCGCGTTGCATTGCGCAAGGTGCGTCTGCTACGATTGGTTTCTCTAACGAAACTCAATGCAATTCTTGAAAGCGCGTTGCATAAAACGAGTGACGTAACAACGGAAAGATGCATAGATATGAATCAATTAAACTATCATCACTCTTTTTCTTCCTCTCTTTTTTTTCTTTATGTGTACTTTCTTTATATATACTTTTATACAAGAATTTATAAAAGAGATCAGCGTAATTATACATATTAGATAACATGTAACTATTAATAAATATTAATTATGTTCATATAAATATTAATTAATCTTATTTAAGATATAATGCATTATCTTCTTTAAGAAGCACGATGTTGGAAAACGAAGCAACAGTTATCTAATTAATATTATACAAAGATATATGAATATAAGTTAACGAGAGCATCATAATTTAAAAATCTTAACAACGTAATTGAGTAATAAAAAATTACAAAATATTAACTAGTTTATGTACTTCCATTATTAATAATGATATTTTTAAAGTGTAAAATTTTTTTGAAAAATACAAGCTCGACATATATCTTCCGATCAGATATGATGATCCACAATTATAAAAACGACAGGAAAAGAATATTTTCATACGTCCTTCCAACTTCGTGCTCGACTCAAAGATAGTGGCGGTCGTTAAGTGTCTGAAATACAACTTCCTCATCGTTCGTACGGGAAACACGCATCGCGGCGGCGTGCTTCTTATATGTATCGCCGAAACCGCGGATTATTCTTCCGGATTGCATCGCGACCAACGTTCAACGTTCACGTTGTCGGACCGATAACGAAATTCCCCGAGCAGGTGGCTGATTCGCGGGGCCAACAGGTTAAATAACGCGCTCCTCGAATGACTATTGTATTGCACATGCTCTCGCATGCGGACATTTTTACGCGCTATATAGGTCAGAATTAGCATTTCCCGCAAGTTAATTGCGAACGAGCCGGCTTCCCGGCACAATCGTCTCTCTCTTTCTCTTTACCAGGTTGCAGCGGCGCGTGTCAGGTCCGACGCACCTTGGTTAACTCGGGTATGAAAATATGGTGCACGGAAATTACCGTCCGCGCGTAGGAGTACCTTACCGCATAGAAGCGACTCAAACAGCACGATCAATATCTCGCTGTGCGCGTTGCGAGAATACGCTGGCCGATTCCCCGACGAGAGGGAGGGTCTATATCGATGACGAATCTTGATGGACTTTGACGGTGATTAGGGTTAGATTACCGATCAATCTAAGGAGCAATTCCGGCAACGTCGTTTAACTTTAACGGTAGTTCAATTGTCCCTCTCCAGAAACAAAGAGAGAGAGAGAGGGAGAGAGTTTCTCCATTGATTAATTTTAATCTCATGATCAGTTTAATTGCTGTCCTTCCTTTTAGAAATATACGATTTAAAAAGAGTCGAGGAAGAAAATAGAATACGATTCTTTACGAAGTTAATCGATGTTGAAAAAATTTTTCTTACACGAGAAATAATACAATTTTTTAATTAGTAATTTTAAAAATAGTGGATATGTGATCGAATAAGCTCGCTTAAAAAATCACAGCAGAAATCTTCTGCAGGAATTTTTTCGCATTTTCGCACTTTATAATTGTTTTTTTTTTAGTTTAAACAATGAAAAATAAAAATAAACAATAAATTCATGATACACTTCAAGAGCTATCAATAAAGAAAAAAAAATTTTTTAACCAAAATCAAAGAAACAATCAATTACAGTAACGCATAATTGCATTAATTTAGCGGTGGGCGTTTTTGATTATTTTTTAATTTTATTTTTTAAATTTATTTTTTAAATTTATTGTGTGAACAATATAAATATGAAATTAGAACAAAAAAATTATCGACAAATTAACATTTAATCATGATATGATTCCAATTGCAATTTTTATGATGAAGATGTCAGATTAACGAAGATTCAATCATTGATGCTATCATGCATGAAAATTACGGATATATAAATGACTGTTTAAATGTAGATGGACTAGAGAGTTTTAAATTTTAATATCTCAAAAATTTTGTTCTATATATAAAAACTTTCAAATACTATTGTTATTTAATTCCTCGAAAATTTTCTTGTTCTCTCCATTAATTATTTTTGTAAATTACCTTATATATTTTACACTGTATTTTGCATGATATAATAATGCATTATATCATAATGTAAAATGTGTTACAATCATATAAATTGATTATAATTACGCAAGCAATTAATTGTACAAATAATAAATTAATAAGATTCTGGATTGCTCACCTCATGGCTGTCCGTCATCGTCCAATGCATCGTCCCAGATTTCCTCTTGTTTGTCCTTTACTGCTTCTTCATGGCGTTTGTATGGCACTCACTCGCGAAACACAGTTAATGACGATTGCATGTATTGTCACAGAAGATGATAACGGCACTTTATTTAACACTCTCGACATAAATCGCACATGATGCACATTTTTTTATATTACGAAGGAATGCGAAATTCACGATTATAAACACAAAGTTAGGATCCATTAGACTATTGAACTAATCAATCTATATTCATAATGTAAAATGTGTTACAATCATATAAATTGATTATAATTACGCAAGCAATTAATTGTACAAATAATAAATTAATAAGATTCTGGATTGCTCACCTCATGGCTGTCCGTCATCGTCCAATGCATCGTCCCAGATTTCCTCTTGTTTGTCCTTTACTGCTTCTAGGTTATGATATACGATTGCATGTATTGCACAGAATGATAACGACTATAACACTTCGACATAAATCCAATGATGACATTTTTTATATTACGAAAATGCGAAAAAAAAAAAACAAAGAACAAATAAACACAAAGTTAGGATCCATTAGACATTGAACAATCAATCGAATTCATATGCTATCTCTATTATTAATAAATATACATACATATATGTATGCATTATACGACAGTTTTATTATTTTTCACTATAACAAAAATAAATAACAAGTTAAAAGTAAAGGTAAAGAATGATAAAATGAAATTTTTCAAAGTATGTTACTGCTTTACCGCGCGACTCCTGATTTTGAAATAAAATGTGCGTTTTATGGCTCATCAATTTATAAGCTTCAAATTTATTATACGATATATACAAAGCTTACTAATATATTTATAATTATATTTATTAATTAAATGTATCGTAGTAATGCTCGATTCAATCTATTAAATATATATCTACAATATTATCAATGCCTGAAAAATTCAAAAGTAATATCGGAATTTTATTCAGATATTATTATTTTCACATTCCTTCATAATCCGCGTCATGCCACGTGATATTACGCGAATTAATTGCGAATTAAAAAGCGACAATAGAGAAAATTAATTAATAGTACAGACGGATAATCGTTAATCGTAATAATCATAGGAAAAATAATCGCGTTTCGAAATATAATAATACGACGGAGAGCTTCGTACTACGCGACCGACTCGGTCGACTGACGCGGGACAAATGATAAGGTATTTAATCGTGTTTTGAGAGCGTATACGTCACAAGGCCGAATTCCATTATTGTTTACATGCCGTGGCCTTGTCATTTGCGCCGCGAGACAAACCGCCTCGGGCGGTTACGCATAATAGTCCGAGGCGCTCCATCATATTATTCTCGAAACGCGACTATTTTCTATGATTATTACAATTTATTTTTTGCGTTATTGTACGTCACGAAAAGCAAAGGCCGAATACTGTATGATTTATTGGTTGCCAGCACGAAATATTTATAATGTATATTGCAAATAAATTTATACGGGATATATTATATATTATATTTCTCTCTTTTTTTCTCTGTTTTAAATTAAAGTATTAATAAAAATTGTATCATAGCTTTTTATTATACGCTCGATCCAACGAATTGTTATTATATATTATATATTATATTATATATTATATATTATATATTATATTTCCCTCTCTTTTTTTCTCTATTTTAAATTAAAGTATTAATAAAAATTGTATCATAGCTTTTTATTATACACTCGATCCAACGAATTGTTATTATTATCATATCTTGCAATTTCGCGAGATTCAAGCGAGATTAGTAGCGTTTCGTTACATCATTTATTTATAATTAAGAATATTATATTATTTTTTCATGATTATGGCTTCTCAACTAGCTTGTGTAACATTGCATAATAATCATGCAATTAAAAAGGTTACAGATATAATTTTTTAAATTATTAATAAAATACCATGAGTATAAAACAAATTGACTCGAATATCATTACACGTTTAATGAGGGCATACATATATTATTTATTAAAATAATGTTATAGAAATAATCTTGTTATAGAAATAATCTTGTCTTATTAAAATAGAAATAATCTTGTATAAATTCGACCATGCAATTTTCTAGTATGGAATAAATCGTTATTTTATATAATTGTAATTTTCACGTACTCCCGAAAGTAAATTAGTAATTAATGTGTGTACTATTATAATTAACAAGATTTTATGCAAGCATCATATAAATGTCATAAAAGAACAAAGAATAAACAAAAAAAGAACACTAAAAAACATCAGGCGATGATACAGGAATCATGGAATAAGATGATTTAGAATTTTGTTATTTGTAAAATTAATTGCTCGTTTAATTTTGTACTGTATATGTATATGTTTAGATGACATATGTATAAATTACGCATACGAATAATAATCTCACTTTAAGATTTTTGTTAATCTGACATTTTCAGAAAAAATTAATTAGCATATATATATATATATATATATATATATATATATATATATGACATAATTAAATGTTAGCTTATTGCTTTAATTTAGATTTTACTTCTCTCAACCAATATTAAATTCGGAATATATGACATACTGGAAAAACCAATATTAAATTCGGAATATATGACAGTCTGGAATAATTAATTTAGGAAATGTTTTAATATCAAAATAAAAAAAACAATTTTTTTAACATGCTCTTTGCTATAACAAGCTAATATCATCACATATTCAATCTTAAAAAATTTTCAAATTAAACGGAACAATAAATATGGCGTTGTTATATTTCGAGAGTAAATAATTCACTTTTAATATCAAAACAAAAAAATCATAATTAATTATATGTAACATAATCAAGTTAATACACCGTGATATATTTCCCATTATTTTCTAAATTCATTTCACAATAATCTGAAAGTAGAATATTTCAAGTAACAATTTGATATCAAGCTATTATTAAACTTTTATTTTCGATTATCTTACTGCTATATGATTACAATAGTGCATCTATAAAAATTTGGTGTTTGTAAAATCTTGTATCAATTAAGCAATTTGAGCAATTAATAAGCAATTAATTGTGATATATCTTTTTTGTTTACAATTGACTAGCATAAAAGAATATTAACTTTGTAAAATCTTGCATTATCTTTGAGCAATTAATAAGCAATTAATTATGATATATCTGTTTTTTGTTTACAATTGACTAGCATAAAAGAATATTAACTTTGTAAAATCTTGTATTATCTTTGAGCAATTAATAAACAATTACTTATGATATATCTGTTTTTTTGTTTATTGTTTACAATTGACTAGCATAAAAGAATATTAACTTTGTAAAATCTTGTATTATCTTTGAGCAATTAATTGTGATACATCTCTTTTGTTTACAATTGACTAGCATAAAACAATATTAACACCCCGATCTGCAATTCCGATTTCCCCGATAGGAGCAGTAAATATGGAATGAAAGCAACAAATTAACGCTAAATTAGCACTCAGTCATGCCATACATTCGAATTTGATTTCCCCCGGTAGGCCTAGGATACCGACGTCGCCGATTGGACGGCGATTCGGACAGCAAGATGCGTTTCTCCTCTATACGCGGAGGAGCAAAAGAATGAAGAAGGGACGATCGTGCCTCCGGGATGAAACAACAATCTAATCGTAGACGCCATTTTGTTTCTGCCTACCGGAGCAGTAGTTGATATATGATCCCATTGGCTACCAAGCTGTTTGGTTCCCAGCTCTGTACCGGACGGCAGGCACGACCTCAACCTTATGCTTGCTCCGCTATATAGCTGTACGCCTCGACGCTCTCTTCGGGTTGCCCTGGCAATTAAAATTCTTTTCCTCCCGCCATGGCTGCTCCGCACTGCCTCCCCGTCCCCGTGCTCGTTTCTTTCTCGATCTCTTCGTTCCCGACCCCAGCTTTCTCTCCCCGTCATCCTCCCTTTCTCTCCTCGCGTCTCCTCGTCATCTCTCGTTGCCCGACGCGATACGCACCGGCAATTAAAAGTGCCCGTTTGCCCCGGACGTTTACACGATCCTTAACTCCTGGTAGCGCAGGGGTTAAGGGAACTGACGTGCTCGCTTAAGTAGCTGGTCAAGGGAAACGGGTAATTATGCGAAATGTCGGCGTTTCCGAGCGCGGCGCGAGCCGCATTATCGCGGACCCGAGAGAGGTCTCGTCGATTTCTACCGGCGCGGTGCAGCCGCTTCTTCGTTAACGACCCACGGAGGATAATCCGGGGGAGGAGGAGATCGCGATAGCGACGGTATTAAGCTAACGGCGTCATTATAACGCATTAAAATCCACGCGGGTATTTAGTCGTCGCTTTACGCGCGCCGACGATTCCAAGGAATCAAACGTTTAATAATAACGTTAATTCCCCGGGGTCGCGTTTTTTTACGCAGAAAATCTTACGAGCAAATTACACTCGAATGCATTGATTTTTATATCTCGATCGCACGAAATGATTTCGTTTTGATAAGGTCGTCAAACAAGAGTGGAAACGCTCGCGATTGTGGTCTCCTTGATTTTTATATATATCGTTAAATAATTTAATATAAATTTCAGTTTCATAAACACGAGGATATATGTTATTCGGTGAGGCCTGGTGACGCGGTTGTATCTTCAACAGCCTTTACAATCACGATGCAAATGAGGAATCGTGCGGAGCCGCTCGAGCCATCGTAAAGCTTTATAACCGCAAACCAGATTTCTAAATAAAAAGTATGAGAACACGATCTTCATTAAAGCGTATGCAAATAAGTGGCTTTCTGACGTGTTATCGTTATGACGGATCGATACCACGTTTCGTGCGCGTCAGCTGATGGTCGAAGTGAAGCGAATAAATTTGCGATACGCTTCGCCCACTCTCTGGATAAACCCCGACGAATCGAATTGACGAGTTTGCGAGATACATTTAAATTCGACCTAAATTTCTGACCGTTTTATCAGCTGGTGGTTCAATTGCCACGGTAAGCAACTTGCATACGTGCGAGCAGGTGAAACCCTCGATCGACTCTCGTTTTACTGGGTCGGAACTTATTCGTTTGCATTTGCTCTGCGCACAGAGTACATCTGTTTCTGCCAACATGCAGCGAATATCGGTACTCGTTATTGGTATTTGTACTTGTACGCAAAGATTTTCAGAGAAATTGAAGAAATATTAGATTTATAAAAAGAGAATATTTTTTT